TTCAACCGGTAGAAAGAGACCTTCGCGGAAATCTCGCTTTTACGAGGGCCCATCGATTTTTCTAAACGGTTGATTCTCTCTCTCTCGTTTTCTCTTTCTCTCTCTCTCTTCCTCTCCCAAACGAGAAAGATACAATATCAGGACGATTTCAAGCACGGGAACGTGTTCGACTTTTCTCTGCATTCCCTGATTTTCCGCCAACTTTACGATCTGTTTAAGCGCGTTCACTTTTTTTACATGTGAAACGAACAAAAAAAAATATAACGAGAGAAAGAGAAAAAAGAAAGGAAATAAAATCGGTGGGAGGGTGAGGGGGTGGGGGGCAGTCGGTAGCAAGGGGATACAAAATTTGCGCGATACGTCGAGTGCGTAAAAGAGTTTGTTATTTTTTTTCTTTTCTTTCGTTCGTTGCTCAAAATTTTTCCCCCGAAAAATTTGCTCGAAACAACGTTACATACTTCAATTAACATTGTTCATGCAAAGGATGAATCTTTTTTTTTTCTTTTTTTTCTATTTTTTTTTTTTACCAGTGCTTCTAAACTCGTACGTAACGAGATAATTGAAGAATAATCTTGTGAAATGAGTAATCGTATTATTATTAAAGAAAAAAAAAAAAAAGAAAAATTTACATCTAGAAAAAATTCATATAGTCATCAAAAATGAATCTTAAAGGTTATTTTAATAAGGAAAACGAGGAGGAAGCTTATCGTGTTGGGGGACGCAACAGGTGACGCATCTCGAAATTGTCAACATTTCGTACGACGATAAAATCAGACAGTGGTTTCTACAATACATACACATACACACACACACATATATATATATAATAGTATCTATTCGTATATGAGAATGCTTTTGTGTGCCAGAAGGAATTTGGAACGTTTCAGAAATCAATTTGAAATGATCAGGATCATTATATAATCGTCGATTCTCGTTCACATCAATTATACTTCGTTATTATAATTATTATCTGTCTATAACGCGACAACGATAATGCCAATTTGATACGTTAATGAATCCTGAGTAATAATTATATTATATCGTAATATCTGTATAAACGATTTTATTAATAATAATTAATATGGCCTGTATAAAATTTCGTTTATTTTTGCTTTTTTTTTCTTTTCCTTTTTTACATAACGACACGATCTAATTCGTTAGTTAATTAATAATAATTATAATAATAATATATGTATCTCTTATATATAATATAATATATATTTATATTATATTTTATTCAATGAATTATTTAATTTGTTGCGATATACAAAAATGTGCATGTATCATTGTCGAAATTCAATTTTCTCTTTTTTTTTTAAGTCTCTTTTAATAGCCAAAAAATCGAATGATGAGTTTAAAAAGGATATTTTTCACGTGTTACACGCGGCGTTTATATATCGAAATACAAATATATATATATACATAGGATTTAAAAGGTAAAATGATGGAAACATTTGAAGAAAAAGTATGTCAACCGTCGATCAAAAGCCCGTGTTGTTTGTCATTAAAAGCATTTTTAAAGCTGGCACACATTAAATACCGTAAGCCTTCGGCAAAACCAAGGACACGAAGAGAGAAAGAATATGTGTGCGATTGTGTTTGTTTGCGTGTGTATAGGGGAAGAAAGAACGTGGAAGAAAAAAAAAGAGAGGGTGACTAAAATGAAAATTTTTCAAACGCAAGATTTCAAGCCGCACGTAACTCCCACGTAAAGTCTGCTTAAAACGAGGAAAAGGGCTGGGTAGGTGGTAGGGAGGGGGGAGGGGGAGGAAATAGAAGGCAGTGCACGGAGATTGGTGGAAGGGTAAATGAGACTGACTCTAAAATATGTGCCTTCGCCATTACGAAGACGTATGTATATGCCGGTGCACACGGTACAGAATAAAAAAAAAAGAAAAAGAAAAAAGAAAAGTAAAAAAAATCCCACCCTTAACTCTTCAACGATTTGTACCGTGTTAAGAGCGTTTAAGGTTTCCACATACAGGGGATTATATATACGTATATATGTGTGCGTGTAAGTATACTAACCCATCAGCTCTTAGACGGACAAAAAAATCAGAAAGGAATATGCACGACGGAATTTTTTTTGTATTTTTCTACTCATAAAGGATTTAGATATTTTCTCTCTCTCTCTATCTACTTTTTTTCTATGTATAATAAAAAGTTTTACCTTGTTAGTCAAAAGAATACAAATAGTCGTAACGAAATTAAACCATTTTACGAAACAATACAAAAATGTTTCTTACGATAAGATAACGTTATTTTGTTTCCTTTTATTTTTATATAATTCATATCTCTAATCTAATAAAAAATAAAAACATATAAGTAGATATATATATACCAGAATATTTCTTATGTAAAATATATAATATTCACTTGGTAGTATCTATTTAGTCACATTTATCGAATACTTTATTCAGATTTACTAGAAAACCTAAAACGATTTGCAAAACGATCATAAAGTGTCAAAAACTCGTTCTACTTTTCTATCTGATGTTAAAAAAATTCTACAATAACACAATAGCTACAGAAAGAAACAAGGATAAAAAAAAGTAATAGTAGTAAAATAAGAATAAAAAGAATGAGAATAAGAAGAAGAAGGAAGTAAAGAATAATGGATAGTACGATTTCCAATCTTTGTGCCCGAAAATCGTCCTTGATCCTCAACCGAAATCACCGCAAAAGGGAAAAGTATAAGAGTATATATAACCTTGCTAGAGAAAACTTCCTTGCTGCCTGACTTTCTTTCGACCTTAGAAAACCCAAAGAAAGAAAGAAAGAAAGAAAGAAGGAATAAAAGAAGAGGGGTAGGTACGTTATAGTTATCTGGAAGAAACCGGGAAGACCATAGGAGAAAGAGGAGGAGGTTGAGGAGAGTGGGGAAACGGGGAGGCAGTTTGGATTACAGGCAAAATACGTCGAAACGAAATCCCTTCATCCCTTAATACCGATCTTTCCCTCCCCCTGGGTTTCCCCTTCTATTCCACGTTCTATCTTTTTCTTTTTAAAACCGACCGAATATACCACAGCGTGGGTAGGTGGGTGGTTGTGAACGGTGATGGTGGTGGTCTTCTTCTTCTTCTTCTTGGTTGCTGATGGTGGTCTACAGTGCAATGCGTTTTCATGACCGAAGACTTGAAGAATGGAGACTCTTGAAAATTCGTATCTACCACCGGAGCCTTCTTCTTCTTCTTCTTCTTCTTCTTCTGATTTTTTCCTTCTTTCACCTACCCCTTTTCATATTCTTTTTATTTTTTTCTTTCTCTTTTTTTTTTTTACTTTTTTCTCTACCTCTATTATTTTACTACCAACCATCGCTACCACCACTCGGCTACCATCGTGATTTCTTTTTTTCTTTCTCTTTCTAACTCTCTTTTTTCTTCTTTATATATTATATATATACATCTCACCCTATTTCTCCGTCTCATTCAACATTTTAGGGCAAGAATGAACCTCTGCTGAAAAGATAAAGACTCACCGCCCTACACCACTTCTTTACACGAAATAGAATAAGAGATGAAAGAATGAACGAAAGAAAGAAAGAGATAAATAGAAAATTTATATCCATATATATAGGTATATATGAATGAGAAAATAAGGGAAGATATAGTAACCGGTATCAAAATGTACTTCCTAGGAGAAATGGATTATAGCTCGGAATAGAGATCATGAAAGTCCAACGGAAGGGAAAGGGCTTGGTCTCCTCGAAGATAGGGCTTCGTTCCTATCTTCTCGTAGTAAAGATGAGATTATACAAGGTGTGTATCTCGTCGCGAAGGATTGCTGGTGCCATAGCGTACAAGAGTTTATAACCAAGGGGTTTTAGTTAATCGAGTTTGTTACACGATGTAATAACGTTTCTAAGACGTGTTACAGTACCCATTACAGATAATTCGCCCTTTTTCTTTATCATTCGATTCATTTATTAAAAATGTTAGACTTTAATTAATTATCCTGAATTACAAACATTGGTTTCTATTTACTATTTTATTTTGGATATTTCTTTTTCTTTTTTAAATCGTCTAATTTTCGTAAGTATACGACATTATTTTAAAGAAAGGACAAGGGATGGTTAGGGGGTAGGGGGAAAGGGGGAGACAGTTTGAGTGAGAATGTCATGAATTTTCTGTAAAAGTTTTGAAATCTTTTAAGATATTCTCGTTGACACAACGTTCTAGGAGGCGAAGGACGAGAAAAGGGACGAAATGGAAGAGGATAATAATAAAAGAGTAATAATGAGTGGTAGGGAGAAAGAGAAATCCTTTTGTTTCTTAGCCAACGTTTTGTTTCAGGATTACGAGCTTATGAACTATCCACGTTTATCTGCGACTACGACTACGACGACGACTCTCCTCTACTCTCCTCAGCGAAGAGAAAAGTAAAAGGTAAAAGAGAAAGATAAGTAAGTAGTAGAGCGTAAAGTGGAAAGAGAAAAGCTTTAGGACATTATACAAAAAGGCAATTATCAAAAGTAATCACAAACGCTTGCTAGGTATACATAGGTTGATTTTTTTAAAAAGAAATATCTCTTTTCAACGATTCTTCACGACATTTCTCTTTTCTTTCTTTCTTTCTTTCTTTCTTTTTTTCTTCGTTCGTTCTTTGCGATTAACTCGTCAAGCAATTTTTTCTTTATCGTTCATATTCTTTATTATTTATTATTTTAATTTAATTCGTATTAATAATAATATGTATTATGTATTTAACACTAGATTTACGGACTAAGCCAATTTGACTCATTTAAAATTTTATTACTATATATATATAAAACTTAAATATTATTTTTTTAAAAACAAACGTTAGTTTTTAGTGTCGTAATGAAATATATTTAAATATTAATTCCTCTTCTGAACCATTCGTTTAAATAATGTTTGTTAGTTATTCAAAAAGTAGTGAACAAATTATTCGTAAATCTAGTGTTAATCCCAAATCGTGGATTTTATCGATATTCATTTGGTGGAAAAAGAAAATGGAAGAAGAAAGATTAATGACCATCTTACCTTATCTTCGAAATGACAGTCGGAGTGAATTCTAACTGACCAAATCCAAGTTCTTGCGGTCTCACGTCCTCCAAACTACTGTATCTTACGTAACTACAGCCTGACGTTGGATATGCTGCAAAGAGATCACACAAATTAACATCCACATCCTTGATAAAATATACATGATATAAAAACTTTAAAAATATATATATATAACTATGAAAGAAGAAAAGAAAAAAAAGGGTATCAAAAATTTGACGTAACCTCTCAAAGTATAAAGAAAAATAATATTCTCTTTTAAAAGTTTTATCCACCACCACCACCCCGTACCCCCATCACTAGCCATCGTTTAAATTTCCACAAAACGTTCGACTATTTTACTATCCTATCATTTACCATAAATTTGAAATTATATTCCTTATTTAGAATAACTTTCTCTTATATACATTCAACAATAAAATATCAAGGTACATATTATATAGGTACATATTATAGAAAAAAAATCCAATAGAATTCGTTTTTCGTGGGTGTAAGTATTAAACGATCATATCGATATTGGATTATTAGTAATCGACTTTGCTTCTTTTTTTTTTGTTTCTTTTATTTTTTTTCATTTTTTTTTTATTTATATTCGTTGACAATGGTGGCTTATATTGAGCAACCCCAAATAGTACGATAGAATTCTATATATATATATGAAAAAAGAGATATAAAATGTGGCGTACGCGTTAACGTTGAAAAATCAATAGCTGCCGGCAGAATTCTCTTCTGTTCCTACCTCTTTCTCTTTCTCTCTATCTATCCCCTCTCAATTCCCCTTTTCCATAAATAAATATGAATATTACGCATCGGCAACGGAACCTCCTCCCTCCCACCCCCGTGCGTGGTGTATCCAGCGTAAATTTATTATACCCAAAAGATATGAGAGAGAGAGAAGATTCGAACGCTTTTCGATTTTCGAGATTCGTTTTTGAAAACGTTTCTACGTGTTTTTTTTTTTCTTCTTTTTCTTTTTTTTTTTGTAAAATTATCCCCTCGACGTTCCGCGTTTTTCGTCGAGTACATTAAAGTAATTCAATTACGAACAAAATATTTATATCTTGTGACGGATTATAGATACCTATGACGACGTATATCTTTCTTTAATTATAAATTAATTTCTATTTTTGTCTATTTTTTTGTTTTTTTTATACTTTGTTTCTCTCTCTCCCACCTTTTTATTCTTGCACAATAATGACACAAGGAACATATTATTACGAGATGTTTGAAATATTTAAAAAAATGAAAAGAAATCTTTCCCTTTTCTTCTAAACTTCCCCCTCCCTCCTTCTCTCTCCGCCCACCCGTAAAAAAAGGAGAAAACAAAATATAACGTTTGAACTAATGAGCGTGAAATTTCTTTCGAATAATTTCTATATTAGAATAGTTTTCTCATAAGGATTTTCGCGATTGAAATAATTTTCTATCTCTATTTCTCGTCAAAAGTCAATAACAAGGAAGAATCGTGGAAAATGCAAATTCGCATTTCGCCATGGATGGTAAAATAATCTTCACGTCGACTTATGAAATCCGAGCACACTTCCGTGTTCCACCTACCTCCTCAGCGCATGCCGAGGTAAAAGGTAAATCCTTCGAGGCAACAATGGGGGAATAGTAGCAACGAAAAGGAAATAAAGAGAGAAAGAGAAAGAAACGAACAGTGAGAGAGATAAAGAGAGAGAGAGAGAGAGAGAGAGAGAGAGAGAGAGAGTAGGTTTTCAAGCATTATGCTCAGCACGGAAGGATGGGTACTAGAAGGAAGGAAGGAAGGAAGGAAGGAAGGGGTTACCGGGGGTGTGGATAACAGAGAAAGAGAGAGAAAAAAGAAGAAGAAGAAGAAGAGGGTGGTTGGTCGTCCCAAGGGTAGTATAACTTCTCGATTGTTATTAGGGGATTATTGTTATTAAGTACACATCCAGACGAACGAGGGAGAGAAAAAAAAAAAGAAGGGAAAGAATAAGAATAAAAGGGAGAGAGAAAGAGGTTCGTGAAATGGTAAAGAAAAAAGGGATGGAAAATGTTGGACTAAATAAGAAAAAGAAAGAAAGAAAGAAAGAAAAAGAAAGTAGAAGGAATAAACAAGATCTACAATACGAGGGGTAAGAGTACGGAAATAACAGAAAGTAGATATCCCATTCGTGATTGTACATAAGCAGAAATAAGAAAGAAACGGAGGTAAAGATTTTCTCGTTCAGGGGGGGAAAAGAATATGATGATGCCCATTACTATAGTTCTATGATCCGTACGACATCGAAAAATCTTAAACCCACTATAGAAAGAGAGATTTTGAGTTTGCGCATATGAAATAAGGAAAAAAGAAAAGAAATGAAAAGAAAATGTTAGATGATATTGCAAAATATTTGTTCATATTTTTGGCTATACTTTTATTGGAAATTTCGACTCCTTTTGGTTTTTTTTTTTTTTAAATCCTAATCGTTAAAAAAAAATATAAATGAAAGTATACAATTGTGATATAAATTTATGTTACTTCGTTTACTCTCGTGTAAAAATATTCAAAATCGTATATGTATTATTAATTATTTCATCGAGAGAGTAATTAATTTAGAAATTCACTAATAAGAACCCTATTTAAAAGATGATAAGAGAATCTCATTGATTTTATAATATATCTGTCTCTCATTTTCTCCTTTTACTCGCTGATAATAAAGATTATCATCTCTCTTCTTCATTTTTCTTCTCTTTCCAACCCTCTTTATTTTTTTCTCTTTTTGCCACGAACTTCCTTTCTATCCTTTATTTTTTCCTTTTTATTCTTTTTCTCTTTTTCTTTCTTCTTTTCAAGGATATTACGTTCAGTTGAGCCGAAGTTAATGAGACGAAAATAAATGCTTGAGAATATTTCAAATAAACATTGTGCACAAATTCGCATCAAAGTATTTTCCTACTCGAATTCTGTGCGATTATTATTTTCTACTCTTCTTCTTCTTCTTTTTTTTTTTTTTTTTTTTTTTTACAAATATTTAGTTTAATAATTTGTTTTATCTTCTTTTAAAAAAGAAAAAAATTGATATTACTCGATAGATACGGTACAGTAAAAACCTAATCGTTTACGTATTAATAAGAGAACAAAAGCGGACTCGACAAAGGAATTTTAGAATAATATAGAACAATTATTTTCTTTTATATCAAACTTTACTCATTCGTATGGAGATTGGCATAAAATTGGCACAAAATTGGCACTTTGTTTCGATATTTAAAAATCATATATTATATCTTTTATCCATAAAATCGTATAAATTTATTAACAACAACAAAAAAAACAATTGGGTGAAACTAATATTTAAAATACACCTTGCTCTGACGATCTTTTTTATTTTTTCATTTAAAATCATTAATTTTAAACCAACGCTAATATAAACGGCCCATTTAATATTACAAAAAAAAAAAGGAAAAAAACAAACATATGCGATAAACGAAGGGAAAAAATTTGAATATAATATATTCCCTGATATATAATCCTTTTGAGGATTAAACATTATTCCAATTTTCAATGAGAAAATGTTAACTATTCGTTAACCGAATAAGACAGACGTTTATAACATTGCTTTGATGGTAAATGTGAATTTTAACAATACCAATTAGTACTTTACGGCATACATGAGAGGGTGAAAGAGAGGGAGAGAGGAAGAGAGAGAGAGAGAGAGAGAGAGAGAGATCGGTACGAATTAATTTGTAAAGACTAAAACTGCCAGTAGTATGCTAGAACGCGTGGCTGAACTTATAAGCGTGACTATTGCACTTCTCGCGAATTCACAGCATAGCGAAACTAAACCACTTCAACTTGCTCTCGCATTCTCACATTCTCTATCTTTCTCTCTTTCTCTCTCTCTCTCTCTCTCTCTCACTATCTATCTATCTATCTATCTCTATCTTTCACTCTCGATCGACGTTCTATCTTCACGAGTACGACCATACATACATACATACATATATACGTTCATGTGTAGTAATTCCGTTATTCGGTACAGTGTGCGAAATTGCTGGCACAAGATGAAACGATTCAACTCGTAACCCCACGAGCTCACATATAACGAAACGCGAACAAATTTTTCTTCGTAAAATGATGATCGATGGTATTAACGAATCACCAATTCGTTCTGTGCAATAGATTAAAATTATTAATGGAATATAAAAAATATATATAATGTATTATATATTCCGTACATTTTCTGTCAATCTCAAATAAAGATTATTCAATGTTTAATATACACAAATTTCGTTTCTCTTTAGATTTGTTCATTCATCGAATTTCTATCGACATATGTTGTAATTCTTTCGATATATATTTCGGGTTTGTGTAATTTATAATTTCTATTTAGAATAAGAAAAACTATTGAATTGCAATGAAGTATAATAACACTTGTGTAAGATAATAATTTCAAAAATATAAAGAACTGCATTTGGGTAATAACATTACATAGAATTAGTGATCTTAACGAGATCATTGTTGAATGTTTGTCGATTTCCTAGATTTTACACGTTCATTTCGGGATGCACCAACAGTAGTGGTACATGCATGACTGTCCCATCCGGTGGCTTATACTACTGGTAGTGCATGCATGTTTATCACATCGAACAGCTTGTACCACTAATAGTACAAACGTATTCATTCGATTCATTTCATTCGAATGATCAACGTCGTTGCATCTATGAAAAAAGCTAATTTTCGATATTAGATTATTGAAAAATAAAACAGCGAGATGAACACGATTAATATTTCGATGTGTTGACCACTTCGGTGATACAAATAAAAAAAATCATATAAGTATAACTACAATGTGTTAAAATGTGAATCATGTAAAAGTTAAATAAACATGTATATAAGAAAAAAGAAAAAAAAGGGTGGCTATCACACAAAAATAAGAAAAATAATCTTAATTGTGTATATTTTGTTTGAAATTTCTATGAAATAATAAAAATAATCATGATTGGTTGTTGTATCTAATAATATTTAATTATCAATTTTTCTGATTCCTCGGTGAAATAAATCAATCAATCAACGAGAGTTTGGCCTAGAAAACGATCGACGATAATAGCTTCGCGAAGGGCTTTTTCAAAGAACTTCGATTTATT